CTTGATAAACTTGTATTGTTAGACCTCCTTCCTTCCCCTAATTAATATTCAGGTCATTTAATCTGATGTCCAATGTGAATGGGGACAGGAACCAGGGGCGGATGTAGGGGAAGGGTGCAGGGGAAGTGCAGCTCCCCTCCCCCCTAGATGAGCTGATATGTACTGCATCATTAGTGTTTGAGTTTGTAAGCAAAGGYAGCACCCTCTCCTAAGAGAAAAATCCTTGATGGTGCAAACCCCCCCCCCCCCAAGAAAAACCCCTGGGAAACCTTTGCCTACCTACCCCTGATATTTGGTGTAGCACTCAAATTAACAATTAACAATTGTTTTCAAACTGTTCCAATTTCAGGAGAAAACAATCAGAAAGTTCTTCTTGTCCTGGTTCCCAAGTTCTCAACCAGCAAAACCTGTGTAATGGTGAATCTGCGTACCTTAACTTGCCAAGCACTGAAAATGGGATCCTCTGCTGCTTACCATGTACATATGAATGGAGCTGAACAAGATACAACTGAAAAAGCACCAATGGAAACTTGAACGATTTTTTGTGTTTTCTTCCAACCTACAGTGTATTGTCATATCTATCTTCATTCAATCACAATAAAATTATACCATAAATGGTTGTTGTACATATTAGTTTTTAAGTTCATTTATTATAAGCGATGGTCATTGGAGAAGTCAATGAGGGTGGAGGGGTGCCTCCACACCTATCATCTACGTAAATTATCTATGATATCGGGCCACTTTTTCACCTTGTTCTCTATTCAATTGATAGCTAATTTACCCTTTATATTATTCAACGGGTCAATCAACGCGGGATTGCATAAAAAAAACGGACCTCCCTTGATACCGATTTATTATCCCTCATAAACTCTATTTCCGCATTTCTGTTGCATCTATTTTGTCTACTCACCGGGAATGATTGGAAACCAATACGAAATGGCGCGAAAATTTGATTACGTCATCATACTAACAGGTTTTTCCGGTTTATAGACTTGAGCTTTTCCAAACTAACGAAATCCAATCGATCCAATAAATCTGAAAGAAATTTGTTTTAAAAATTTGAAACCGAGTGAATAGTTCCAACTGCATGCTAAGAAGACAAATTTCAGAAAAATAGTAGAAAAGTCAGCATAAAAATGGACGTTTATTTGAAAAGGGAAACGTCATATTTGTTTGTTTGTTCGTGTCGTGATTGCGCAAGCGCTCACGCAATAAARGTTGTCAAGGCAACCAATCCTTCATTCTTTGAAGTTTTCACAAGCTGTAGACGTTACTTCAGTTGTGACTGCAAACTTTTTAAAAATATCCTTTTTTAAACGATTTTTAAAGACCTTAACAAGTGAAACAAGATGGTAAGCATTAAACAAAAAAGTTTTTCAAATATTTTGTTGTTTTTCATTCCATTTTATGCAAATTTTTCCGACTAACTGAAAGTCAACGGCAACTCACCAACTTTCAAAAGTTTTGAACTCAAAGGCTAAATTTTCACGAAAACAGACTTTAACTCTTTGCTAAACCTTTTTTTATTTGATTTAGCGTGAATGTATYTCAGTCCACGTTGGTCAAGCCGGTGTTCAGATTGGAAACGCTTGTTGGGAGTTGTACTGTCTTGAACATGGTATCCAGCCCGATGGCCAGATGCCCAGCGACAAGACGATCGGTGGTGGGGATGACTCGTTTAACACGTTCTTTAGCGAGACCGGAGCTGGAAAACACGTCCCGAGAGCTGTTTTTGTCGACCTGGAGCCTACTGTAGTAGGTGAGAATTAATGACAATGACAATGACAAGTTCATTAGTGTGTTTTTATTTTCGTTGTCGTTGTTGTTGTTTCTTTGAAGTCTTTTATTATATTTTCTACTATTATTCTTGTTCGCCACTTTGTTTGCATTTTGTTTTCCTTTTTTTCTTCTGTTTGAGCTTATATTGTTTGTGTTGTTTTTTAACCTAAACATTTCATCACGTACTATGTAGCCCGCGCAAATGAAATAAAAATCTCAATGTATTGGCACTAAACTTAAGCTTACGTTGGTTATTAAATTTACCAATTTTTTGCTTATAATTTCTAATTATACTATTATTATATATATTATTATATTATGAATTTTTTTTAATCATAATTTTGCACTTTTGATTTCCTCAGATGAAGTAAGAACTGGTACCTACCGCCAACTTTTCCATCCCGAGCAGCTGATCACTGGTAAAGAAGACGCAGCTAACAACTACGCTCGTGGTCACTACACCATTGGAAAAGAGATTGTAGATCTTGTCCTTGATAGAATCCGTAAACTGGTAAGTTATATTATATATTTGCACATTTATATAATTTCATTCTATTGACTTAATTTTTTTTCCTTTGAAATTCAGGCTGATCAGTGTACTGGTCTCCAAGGTTTCCTGATTTTCCACTCCTTTGGTGGTGGTACTGGTTCTGGTTTCTCCTCTCTTCTTATGGAACGCCTGTCTGTTGACTATGGCAAGAAATCTAAGCTTGAGTTTGCTATCTACCCAGCTCCTCAGATCTCTACAGCTGTTGTCGAACCATACAACTCTATTCTGACCACCCACACCACGCTAGAGCACTCTGACTGTGCATTCATGGTAGACAATGAGGCCATTTATGATATCTGTCGCCGTAACCTGGACATTGAAAGACCTACCTATACCAACTTGAACCGCCTGATGGGACAAATTGTGTCTTCCATCACAGCCTCTCTGAGATTTGATGGTGCCCTGAATGTGGACTTGACTGAGTTCCAGACCAACTTGGTACCCTACCC